AATATGAAAACATTTTAAGCAACATTTAAATGAAGCAGCTTCAATGCATAATGAATAATTTTGATTCACATTAACAATGTTTAAAGGCAAAGATCTAACCAATACTTAGTTTCAAAATGAATGTCCATAGAAGCTATACTTCATTTTGGACTTAAAGAACTGGCCATACTGGGGATTCAAATCGGATGAACAAAAGCTCCAGAGCAGCTACTAAACGATTTTACGGTGAGATGTTTTTGCCTGCAATCGAAATCAATGGAACTGCAGTATTTTGAATCATTTAGTGATGTCTCATGTGTTGTCCCTGCTCTCACTAGCACTTGGGACTTGGAGCTAGTGCAGGAGAACCAAACCCATGGACAGGGCTGCACTCAGGCTGCATTTGACATAAAAATGTGAATGCCACCATTTTTCAAAGGCTGTTGAGCATGGCACGTTCACTGAGGAGGCCATCTTGTACAACTATGACCACAATGGATGTAGCATTGGCTTGATTTTAAATGCATCACGTAAGACAGGGCTGCAGCTGAGTATGTTTTTTGATTCAGTATCATCAATATTTACTGACTCATTGTTATAAGGATGTTGTTTATCCTGTAATTAACTGTTCTGATTAGGCAGAAGTAAAAATGTTTTTTGCAGGAGTTTTTTCAAAACTCCCTCTGGCTTGTTGATATGGTTAAGGACACTTATTGGATGTCAAAATTCTCACAAGTCTCCCTCATCTATAGAGCTTAGGATTCTTCCTTTTGGTCTTCCAGTTGTGCAGTTGATACTGACTGTCAGGTGGAAATTTTTATAAATGACCTAGGGTTTAGGGGATTAAAACGAAAAAATGGGATTTTTGGAAAAGACGCTACTCTGACTCAAAGTTAAGATGACACAGTGTTGTGGTGGTACTGACAGGGCCTTGGCTTCTCTGTATTCTTCTGTCTCAGAGTCTTCATCCTCAGAGTAGATCCCAGAGTCTCTACCCCCTCTGAGCAGTCCTCTGGCAGCCAGCAGACCTGCAGCATTTCCGTATCCAGTGTACTTAATAAACCTTGAAACTTGATAGGAAAGATATTACTGTTAACATGGAAGTATATATGCCACAATAAAAGCAATACATTTAATAAAATGACAACAAAATCAACCAAAGTCAACAAGCCTTTGGTTGGACCAATGACCTAATCCAGTTCAAATACTAATAACGGATGTTTTTATGTATAAGCTGCTTAGGCAGCATCCATGGATAAAGAAAAGCAAATCAAGTCTTACTTCTTGACTCCTTTGGGATCCCCAAAGCTTAACTTGGATTTATTTTCAGGAAAGGTATAGTAATTTAAGCAATACTTGTGCACACCAGTGATTTTAATGCCATCAGAATGGGGCTTAAGTCATATTGCAACTACAGATTTTACAACTTTGACAATGAAGTACTGAAACACAAAGGCAGTGAACCATCCGCTTAAAGTCAGCCATACAAACGTCAACATCTACGACTAAGACAAAGACAAAACAATATACTTTTTCACCATTTTCTTTGCAGAGAACAAAGAGGAATTCAGCAGCGTAGTCCTTGACGTCAGTGTCGATGTGGGTCATAAGACGGACTATTTTGTTCCTCAGAGCATTGCCCACTTCTGGCCTGTTTGTCACATCACGCAGTGGGGGCAGGACCTAAACAAACAATATACATGGATAACAGAGCCACCAAAATAGCAACAATGCTCATATTTCATCTCTTCAACAACGATTCTCTTTGACTTTGCCCAGTACTGACTTTTGACCTGAGGAACTTTCTGGTCTCTCTGTGGATGCGGGCACTCTCCGTCAGCAGATTCAGTGATGGGAGAAGGGTCTCCTTCAGCTTATGTCCCTGGGAGGCAGACAAGCAAACTTTAATATTGAAAATAAACGCAACCAATCAGCTGAAACCACACTTTTCCCTTCTAGTTAATTTTCCATGAATACACTTCGATACAGCACTCATCCAACAGCCACCCTTTTAAGCAATGACCTTCTGTGGCCTACATTTCTTGCAGAGGGTGTCGATAATCATCCTCTGAGACTTTCAAGTCAGCAGGCTTCCCCGTGATTGTGGTTACTTGTACTCTACTAGACTGAAAGAGACATAGTATTTATACTGTTTGAATAGTAATTTACTCAAATAAAATATTCTAATATTTTTAGATAATTTTATGAGCTATAAGTCAATCATCGAAATAAAACAAATAATGACTTGAGTATAGAATGTATAAACTAAAAAATGTTTTTTCACGATATTCTAAGTTTTTGAGTTGTACATGTATATATACTGTTGTAAAGAAAAGTTTACATTAACTTGAAAAGTCACTGTATATCATGGCAGTCTTGAGTTTTCAGTGACTCTTATAACTCAGGTTTTGTTTGTGATTGAACCTTTGAAACATGTTGTTTTACTGCTGTGTGAAAAAGGTACATCCAGCAACATTAATATTTGGTTGAATGTTTATTAACTGCCATTTTCACCTCAATTCGACACACAAGCTTCTGCTTGTATCTATGACCACTCCTGTTGACAGAATTGGTACAGTTAAGCTAAACTTGTTGGTTTTCTGACAGTCTTGTTTCTTCAGCACAGTCAACAGGTTCTTGATGGGTTTCAGTCAGGACTTTGGGGAGACCAGTCTACAATCGTAATTCCAGCTTGATTTAGCCATTTCTTTATCACTTTTCATTGTCTTGTTGGAACACCCAACTGTGTCCAAGATCCAACCTTCTGGCTGATGATTTTCGGTTTTTCCAAACAATGAGGAGGTAATCCTCCTGCTTCCTTTTACTTTGTGTAAAACATTAGATCCACTTGCAGCAAAACAGCCCCAGAGCATAATACTACCACCACCATGCTTGACAGTAGGTATGGTGTTCTTGGAGTTAAATGCTTCAACTTTTCTCCTCCAAACATATTTCTGGTCATTGTAGCAAAAATAGCTACATTTTTGTTTGATCTGAAGACAGAACATTGCTCTAGAAGACATTTTCTTTGTCCACATGATCAGAAACTAACTTTGTTTGAGTTTTAAAGTGTTGTTTCAAGGGGAAGGCTTTCCTTTTAGCATTTGAATTGTCTCCAAGTGTTTTTCCTGACTTGTACTAGTCAGTAATTTGCTTTTTCAGATCTTTGCTGAGCTCCTTAGACTTTCCCACTGCAGTGTTTATGGCTGAGTGTCTCAAATGGGCCCTAATTAAATTGGCTTAGAGAAGTCAGCAGCTGTAGTCCATTGTAATCACTCGTAAGAAGTTAAGAGGCCAGTTAAAGATAATTAAAGTTGCTGTTTGTATACTTTTTGTCCAAGCAGTTTGTGTCATTTTTCCAGAAGACCTATGATAAATTTATGAAAGAACCTACTTTTTTTTTTTTTTGTGACAAAGACGCATGTGTTTTAAAGATTATTATCAGATCACACAAAATAAAGAGTTGTAGCAGTCATTGGAAACGTAACACTGCCATGATATACATGGTCTTTACAAGTACATGTAAACTTTTGTTCAAGACTGTGTATACACATACACAACAATGTAGAGGGTGTGTAGTGTTGTCTGGCAGTCCCAAGCATAGAGGCAGCCTTCTTTATCAGTTGATGTAACCAGGTCTTAGGCTGCTGCCTCCTACAGAGAAAACTGAGCTTTCCACAACAGACTACTTTGAGACATGTAACATTTTGCTGGACACATTGAAGGACCTAAGCTTTCTCAAGAAATAGTGACTCTGTCCCTTCCTGTAGACTGCCTCAGCATCACCTTTCCAGTTCAGTCTGTTGTCATTGTGGATGTCTAGGTATTTGTAGTCTTCCACACCACAGCCTCTTCTCCCAAAATGAAATCAGTGTTTACCTTACTCCTGGTTTTCCTAATATCTGCAATCCTCTCCTTCACCTGTATCACATTTAATAGGAGGTGGTTGTTCCACACCATGTCACAAAGTGATTCAAAAGTTTCCTCTTTTCTGTCTCCTGAACACCACTAGCTCAGTCCCAGTTGTATTGTCTGACCAGTAATGTGTCTTGTCTGGCTTGATTTTGTTTTGTCAGTAGGACTGTGTTCTCTGACCTTTGCAATTAATTTGAGAAGCACAGTGTTAATATTTCATGTAAATTAGAATATGCTTTGGGCCTGTACATTTCTTATAATAGTATTGAAGGTAATGATCACACATACACTTAATCTCTTGTCTTACCCGGTCGAGTTTTCTCTCCATGAATTCTAGCAGCATGTGGACAGCATCCATGTTGACTCCCATGTACTCGATGGAGCCTTGTTGCACCTTAGGCATCAACAGTACATCCAAACAAGCCAGCGGGAGGTTACCTAGCAAATTCACAGTATGGCTGACAAAGAGAGAAGAAAGGAGCAAGCATCAGAGGCAAGCAATCAATGAATCTAGTTATCACTGAATGGAGAATCAAGAGTCGTGCTACCTGTGAAACTCCTCTGTCCGCTCGTCTCCATCCGCATGGCTCGTTAGACAGTGTCTCAGTATGGCTCCCAAATGTCTGTACTCTGCTGCCTCTTCCTTCACACATACAGATCACACATGAGTTACTCACATGTTCTGAAGAGAACCCTTAACACTGTTGGTCTTTTTTGTATATTGTACAATTTCTTGTATGGAATAGGCAGGAAAAACTGGCCAACTAATATTCTGTTGTTTTCTGACACTGAAAACAAGGAAATCCATATCTTACATCCTATTAAAACAACATAAATATTTTTGACATGTCCAGCATAAATATAATATTATTGTTAATGGAAGTGAAATACTCCTGTTAATGGCCATTTAATTTTCCTTTATTGGTGACAAAGTAAAACATTTTGGACCAGACTGCATTGTATCAAGGAACAGTGGCAACAGGAGATTTGTTACTGCCTTTTCTGACTTTTAATCTAATGCCATCACAAAGTTGACTGTTTTGACTTGAAGTGATCCAAAAACTGCTTGATGGATAGATTTTGGTGATCCTTTAACTTTTCAACCCCAAGCTGCAGCAGTACTAAACCATGACTGACAAAACGGCTAAAATAATAAGTGAAAACTCTCCGAACATTAAATGTTCTCCATTACCTCATCGACCTTGCGTCTGGTTGTGTCAAATGTGATATTGAAGAGAATTTTCAGTATCTCCATAGCTAGTTCTGTCTGCTGCCGGCTCAGTGGGGGCAGTTCTTCAGGTGGGATGCCTTCAAACCCTGCCCTTGCTGTCTCCAGTGTATCTGGCCAACATAGACCCAGTGTGGCATCCAACTGGTTGCCTACAGCAGTCAAAGGAAAGGAAGTTACCAACTTGTGTTTTTTAACTACTGACAAAAACTGTATTTTCTTGTAAATGCTTGTCTTATTGTGGCAATCGATTTATTGTGGATTGTTGGACTTCTAAACATCTTAATGGTTGCAGGCATTGGTGACCTGGAAGGTGAGTCTAATAATCACTTTCCATACAATTAAAAAAAAAAAAAACAATGAAGTTGTGGGAAATGTACACAAAAAACAGAAATGGTGGTTATTGTTATGTTGTTGTGCTGTAGTTGTTGAGATGTGTCGACACATCTATCAAACACTAATGACAGCTCTGAGGGCAAACATGCCCTCCCAGTATGTGTTCCTGGAACCTCATTTAATACCATCTCCTCATAAACGCTGGAACTTAGCTTCCAGAACTTGTCTCCAAAGTAGATGGAAGACAGTGAAAAAAAGCAGAAGCCAATTAGAAGTTCTCTTACAGGTCACTAAGTTCCCAGAGTGGAAAAATCCTATTAGCATGGGTTACCTTGGAGACTAATAACCTAGAGAGCAGACAGTGGTTACCCAGGTCAGTACTTACAATGACTGCATAGGAAATAAGTTACCTAGGAGACTGATGCCATGAAGCTCCCGAGCCAGCTGTGCCCTGACATCCACTCTCAGGGCAGTCAGCAGGAAGGTGAGGCGCAAATCAAAGAAACGCACCTTGAAAGACAAAGCAGGGACATGAAGAATTATTCACACCTTATCTGATTTTTCCTCCTTAACTCTAAGGCTAGAGATCAAACCTCAGTGTTTTCTAGTACCAACTGGAATGCATATGTCTTCAAGACAGGCACTGAATGTTTGGTCTGTCCAGGTCTGTGCTTATAGTTTTTGTTGAGAGGGTAATTCTAGCTTCACAGTGAATTACACATATTTTCAACACAATTTTGTCGTGTTTTTCAGCTACTTTGAGTCAAGTCAGCATTAAGCATACATGAATATGTTTGAGATGTTTGGTTGAATTTGTTATATTTCAAAAAAAGCTGTTTAAAAAATAAATAAATAAATAAATAAAAAATCTTAATCTAAGGACACAATTTAAGACTGAGTGTGGTGTCAAACTTACATAATCTGAATATGCATTTGCTAAAGCAAACCAACAGTATGTAAACATACAGTATTGTGTCAGACACAAGATTCCAAAGTGGTGGAAGACTGGCGTCTTATTCAGAATACATGAAATTCATTCATTAATAAACAATTTGGGAGCTTCGAGTGAGAAGAAACCAAAAAGAGTGGTGGGAAAACACGCAAAGTGACAGAATACATTCCTTTCAACACACTTGTATTTGTTGCTCCAACACGCAGCATCCCGATGACAGAATAGGTGTTATAAAATGCCCAAGCACATACTTTGTTTGAAATGATAATGGGCAGATGGAGAGTGGAGTCATAGACCTGAAATAACGTATCAGTCACGAGTGTTCCCACCCTTTGTATCATATAGTGCCATACATCTACAGTTTGAGAAGTTTGTCAATGCTGGTATGTAGAATGTTGTTCTATTCTTTCTGAAGAGTTTGGCAAAGTTGTTGGACATTTTGTGGTACAAGATTACATTGTCGGACACATCCATCCAGAGCATCCCACAGACATTCAATAGGCAGCATGGCTAAAAAATATTGATGCCATGATTATTACTGGAACATTTTCAGCTGCTAAAAAGAAGGGCAGTGCATTTTCCTGCACCAAGAGTAGTTGTTCTGTTCAGATATCATGTCATTGCAGGAATTACCAGGATGACCATGGGTGTGAGGATTTCATCTTGACATCACTGGGCATTATGATTGGCATCAATAGACATATAGACATGTTCTTTGTCCGTGGCATATCCCTGGCTATGCCATCACTCATCCTTCTTCGTGGACTGCTCTCCATAGATCTACATAGTGTTTCCCAGAATGATGCCAAACATGACATCTGCCATCTGCTCTATACAGATGAAGAAGAGATTCAGCAGTGAAAAGAATTGTTATTTATCTTGCTAGTGTATTGGTTGCCAGCTGGAGCAGATTAGCATGCTATTCTGCAATTGCATCAAAGCCTTGGTGTGGGCAACAAGATTGCAAATACGTTTTTCTCAGAAGATTCCTCACTCTTTGAGAAGATATTACCGGGCCATGCACAGCTTCATTTCAATTGCAAAAAAAAAAAGAAAGAAAAAAGTCAGGTTTGTGTTCTGTGGTCATGTGGCCAAATGTCCGTTCTACTGTACAAACAAAATTCTTAGTTTCAAACTGTGGAGTCAAGTGTCTGGCTGTGGCCCTAACTAACATGCTAGCATCGAGCATGTCAACAAGCCATTTTCGTCTTTCTCTTGTCATCTATGGCATGAAGACATCTGGATATAGCTGCATTTTAATTGGGCTTCTGTTTCAATTTAAAAAACTTTATTTGTCCGCTGGGGGCATGTAAGGCATGTAAAGTACTTGGATCAACAAATAATGTATGTAAGGTGCTAAAAATGACAGTATTTACATGAGCTATAATTTAAGGCAGAGGTGCATGTCTGTGATGGAATATGTAATGTCCCCATGCAAGAGAGGGGGATCAGTGCTGGGAGGCAGGGCGGCAGTGATGGCTGGGAGTTGAGGAGCTGAACAGCCCTGGGAACAAAGGATGCTCTCCTCCTCTGAGTCCTGCATCCAGGACAGCAGAGCCGACGTCCTGTCGGCTGATGGAGTGAAACCAGAAGGTTATAGACAATGTAATGACACTTTCAATGAACGAAAAGTAAAATGTCCTTAGGATGTTCCTGATGACACCAAAAGTGTTGAGCCTTCTCAGTAGATACTGCCGCTGCTGCCATTTTCTGAGGATCTCCTCAGTGTTGGAGGCAAATTTGAATGTGTTAAGAAAAACTGTGGCCAGGTATTTGTATTCATTCGTTATCTCTCCCAGCTTCCAATGGATTGTGCTGATAGCTGCTGCTTCTGCTTGCTGGAGAAAGTCACCACCATCTCTTTGGTTTTTTCTACATTTAGCTCCAGGGAAGATGTATCACACCACTCCACAAACTCATGGATTGCTGAGTTGTGGTGATGTGACGGGCCTGAAGGCAGGGACAAGAGAACTGCGTCATCTGCATACTTAACCAGATGACAGTCTGGGTGGATGGACCTGCAGTTGTCAGTATAGAGGATGAAGAGCAGAGGTAAGAGGATGCAGTCCTGAGGGGAGCCGGTAGAGGTGAACAAGAGGTCAGAGAAGGTGTTATTGACCAACACTTTCTTGTCAATGAGTCAACGATTAGTTGGTCCTCCGAGTGGAAGCAGGTGGAGTTTCTCCACCAAGATGTGGCTGTAGAGGGTTAAGGGGTTCTTTTATAGTCACTGGTCAAAGGAGTGTCTGTGCTCTGGTAATGCTACCTGATCATTGTCCTTTAAAGCCATATCCGACTGAGATGCCAAGATTGACTCAGTGGTCAAGCAGCTCAAAAAATTTTTGTGGACAAATGTAACACCTGTCCAAAGATCCATCCATTATCTATACACCGCTTAATCCTCACTAGGATCGCGGGGGGCTGGAGTCTATCCCAGATGACTTAGGGTGAAGGCAGGGGACACCCTGGACAGGTCACCAGTCTATCACAGGGCCACACTTAGAGACAGACAACCAAGCACACTCACATTCACGCCTACGGACAATTTAGAATCACCAATTGAACTCAACATGTTTTTGGACTGTGTGGGAGGAAGCTGGAGAACCCGGAGAGAACCCCTGCACGGGGAGAACATGCAAACTCCACGCATAAAGATCCCTAACTGGGACACGAACCGGGGATCTTCTAGCTGCGAGGTGACGGTGCTAACCACCAAGCCACTGTCCAACTATAACAACAGAAATCAAGATTTTTAACTTTACATTGAGGCCTGCAAGGTGGCTCAGTTGGTAGCACTGTTGCCTCGCAGCAAGAAGGTCGCCGGTTCGCGTCCCGGTGGGGGCACCGGAATCTTTATGCGTGGAGTTTGCTTGTTCAGCGTGGGTTCTCCAGCTTCCTCCCACAAGGACATGTTGAGGTTAATTGGTGATTCTAAATTGTCCGTAGGTGTGAATGTGAGTGTGCTTGGTTGTCTGTCTGCTTGGTTGTGGCCTTGCGATGGACTGGTGACCTGTCCAGGGTGTCTCCTGCCTTCACCCTAAATCGGCTGGGATAGGCTCCAGCCCCCCCGCGACCCTAATGAGGATTAAGCGGTGTATAGATAATGGATGGAACTTTACATTGAAGTCAAAAAGAAGATTATTTGTTTGATATTCTTACCTCATGGTTCCAGGTGGGATCGTGACATTGCTTCATCCTCTCTGCCACACCTTTAATCAGCTGCAGATCTGCTGCTACCACCTGCCATCCATCCATCCATCCATCCATCCATCCATCCATCCATCAGATTTTATAAACAGCACTAAACAAACATAATGTCATAATCTGAGGAATTCATGACACAGCAGACTGACCTGTCCTGTCTCATTGTGTAGGAGGATGTTACAGATGGACTTGAGAGCCTCAACAATCACTTCCTGGTCTGGGTTTTCTGAATGAGGGGAGGATTCCTTAACTGTCTCACTGGACCCTTCTGCTGCCTCTTCCCCATCTCCTCCCTCACCCTCCACTGCGAAGAAAATGAATTGGAAAATTCAAGTAACTAAGTGCACATTCAAATAATATTTATACTGAGTTTAGGATGTTGTACACATGAAGAATGGAGCAAAGGAGGCAAAGATCAAAAGCTTGTCTTTTGATTTTTTATTAATCAATTGTGCTGTCACAAAAATCCTCTTGCCAAATTTCATCCTGTGTAATCTACACAAACCAGCAAGCACTGTGAGAAAAACACAGCAACAATCTCATATTGGTAACCTCCAGAAACCCTGTTTTTGATTAATATGGACAACTGACACACAGAGAAGAGGCAAAAGATGTTGCAGCCAGAGTTCTGATAGGAACCAGTAACAGAAATATTTCACCCTTATTAGCTTCACTTCATTGGCTCCCTGTAAAATCCAGAATAAAATTAAAATCCTTCTCCTCAAATACAAAGCTCCTAATGACCAGCTCCATCTTACCTTAAAGACCTTATTGTACCATATCATCATAACAGAGCCCTTCGCTCTCAGACTGCAGGTCTACTTGTGGTTCCAGTGTTTCTTTGTTCCTTCCTACTGTTGCCAACCGCTTGCTCAGAAGGAGTCCAAAGGCAACTTTGGATTTTTGGGTTCTCTGTGTAAACTTGTAAGGTGTATCTCTTATTATGTTAAGGACTGTGTGATGACATACATTGTAAACTGCGCTATATAAACAAAATTGACTTGACTTGTCTTGAAGCTGCACATCTCTGAATCTCTGTTACCTGCTTAAGCAACCTCCATGGTAGTGTTGTATTCTTTGTCTATATGCTTATCCCCACCCTTACCCCAACCAGTTGAATCCTTTGAGTCCTTCCTGGTAAAGAGGAGGTTTTTTTTGTCTTCCTATTGCTGCCAAGTCCTTGCTTACAGGGACTCAAAAGGAACCTTTGGTTTTGTTGGGTTTCTCTGTATACATTTTGTAAGGTCTTCAACATGCTATGTGTAGTCCCTTGAGAAAACATATGTTGTGAACAAATTGGAATCATTTGACAATTAAGTTGGGGGGGTACTCACATCTGTTGTATACTGAATGTTTTGTAATAATTAAAATGAATGATGGTTACATTCTGTTTAGGTGAGCTTGGTCCAGGCTTGTGATATTGTGCTACTGTATTTCTGAAATTGCTTCCTGAGACACAAAACAGAATCAGTTTTAACATTATTACACCTGCCTACATAGACTGAGTGGTGAAAGTCGTACATTAGCACTTCACTATCAGTAGCTGCACACCTCTATCTATGTGTACACACGATAGGTTGAGACAGCACTGGAATAGACCACCTGTATCTAGGCTGTGTTCACAGGCCAACATAGAGTCTCTATAGTTAAGAGCGTAAAAAAAAACAGAGAGAGAGAGAAAAAAATGGAGTGTAAAACTATGCTTTATTTGCTATGAGAAGTCAAGACATTTTCTGCTTGATGCCTGGATTCATGAAACTAAGCCTAGAAAATGGGAATTAAAGGATAATTGAAGGAGGGAAACTGATATTTAGAACTTCTAAGTTTAAGACTGTATTCAAATTCAAAAGTAGTCTAAAAAAAACACTCAAGTAGGAAAAAAACTTTTTTTTTTGCAAAAACAAAAAGTATTAGTACATTAATATGAAGATTTGGGGAAGTTTCATGGGAGAAACAACAAAGCAGACACACCTGGGTAAAACCTTTTGAATGTATTGAAAATGTGAAGTGAAGTTGACAGGAATTACCTTGTCCCTCCACCAGATGGCTGTGGGCAGGTGTGGCAGGAATGTCCACAACAATACCAGCATAGCGGGCAAGAGTGAGCATGGCTGAGCGGCTGATGAATGGATCCAGGCAATGTTTGTCTCTGGACAGAATTCGAACAGTTTCTAGACAGGCCAGCAGACAGGAAGGCTGCAGATCCCTGTTCAGGAAACCAAGCACCAACTCCCCCAGATGCTGCATCACACAATAAATATATAGTGTTAGACGTATATTGACGGAAGCAGGAAAATCATAATTCAAGTTTTTATTGTGATGAGTAACTAAAGGCCTAACTGGGAAATGTAATCATGACTGAATATCAAATTTTTACATGATTTTACTTGCACTATTTAAAAATCTCAACTATTTCAAGGTGAGATTTATATCCATATGTAAATTCGATCCGGATCTCAAAATTCAAGTCAAATCAAAAAGTCTGATTGCAGAAATTTACATGGTCAAATTCAGACACTAAAATTCCACGTATGAAATCCAGACCATCTGCACATAGGGTCTGATTGTCAGGTCTTGCCAGAGCATACAAGACAGAATTCTCCATATACCAAAATGGTGTGATTAGCGATTCTGCCCAGTCTTGATTAGTTATCATGTGCATATATTTAATATAACTATTATACATGTGATGACCATTGATAAGAAATGCTGAGGCTTGGCCAAGAACTTTGTAAACATTCCTGTTTTTGTATATCCTGTAGTGACATTTCAGTTAATTTCAGTTACAACATTTTTAAAGTCAGTCATTCAGGGAGTTAAAATTGTTGCTCCAATGTTTACTAAGTTGACTTGCATCTTTCTACAGTCTGCGTGCAAATGTATGCTCAGTGTGAGCACATGTTTACAGGATAAGGAAGCTGGCACTGGCACATAAGCTGTACCTGAACTATGTTCAACCCTGAACTCTGGCTTCTTCCACTCTTAACCACAGTTCCCATGTGGGACTGCCAACCACAAGGTGAGATTGTTTCCTTACTGCTCTTTAGAGATCGGAAAGCTCCTCAGGTGTACATTTGGCAAATCAAACACATAGTCCCAATCACTTTATTGTCAAACAGAATCAGAATCATACTGTTTGAAAATACTTTTAAATACTTTTAATTGTCAAGTTACAAAATGAAGAAAAACTTTGTATAGATTGTTTAGGTTAATATTAGCAATGTTAGCGCAACTTTTTTACGGACAGATATTTACTGCTTTCCAAAGATGTTCCAAATGTGTTGGGTACAAAATCAAATCAAAGGGAATCGAACAATGTTTTAATGTTCTCTTCTACCAGCTATTCAGTTCAGAGGCCAACTTTCATCTAAGCTGAGTAAACTGGGTGAGGGTTAGGCTGTGAATGAATCTGACATAACATCTTTTGAAAGTGAGAAATCAGCTTATTGATTGTTTTTTGATCTGATGATTCCATCATATAGAAATTGAGTTATAGGAGCCAGTGAAAACTCAAGACTGCCGTGATACACATGGCGCTCCTGATATGTGAATAAGAACAAACAATTAATATTAGAGCTGTAATAATTCATGCCAGTCAGAGGTGATCATCACTCTGACCCTTCTGAGAGGAAACAACACTGGTGTTCTCCTCACCAGTGCAAGATGGGTGTATGGAGTTGGCTCAAACATTAGAACCAAAAAATCTGTCTTGTAAACAAACTGTGTGCTAAGGGATAGAGAGACATAAGAGACATAAAATGTTGCTCATTGCTTATTCATACCTTTTGTGAGCTTCCTTCCTAAAGCACCAGGCAGGCACACACAGGGGAGAAGACGGATGATACAGGTGACAGGAGGCCAGTGTCAATTTCTATACATGTTCTTTCACTGCTGACATCTGTGTTAATGTAAATGTACTGCAGAGTAAATTGTCAAGCTAGGCATGTTTAAGACGTGTTATTATCTATAGGTAAGACAATTATGAGACTCACACTCTGAGGTGCAATGTTTTTTCATGGACCTAACAAAAAGCTATCGTACAGGACACAGTTTTGGGAATGTTAAAATTACCTCTCTGTCCTGCTCTTCTTCCTTGCTGAATGTAAAGCACTGGTTCATCTGGAGGACAGAAAAGCAGAAGGCACAAAGAAAGATAAGACAAAGATTTAAAAAAGCAGAAAAAGCAGGGGAAATAAGAGACAGAAGATAGTAAGAAAAAGAAAGACTCTGAAAGACAGTAATATTTACAGGTTACAGCAAAACTGAGCACACCGCTTTGCAAGATCACTAAAATGATAAATAGTATTTTAACTGTAACAGAACGTTTAGGTTGACATATAGAATATTTGATGTTTTTGTGTAATGGTATAAACTGTGCTATATACAGTCATGGAAAACATTATTAGACAATCCTTGTTTTCTTCAATTTCTTGTTCATTTTAATGCGTGGCACCACTAAAGTTACATTACCTGAAGAATACAATGAACACGACAAAAAATGCAGCTGATTACATAATACCTTATGTTCTACTTGACATACTTAAGCCTAATAGTATTCCCAGGGTATATAAGAGGCCATTGCATGTCATAAGCAGTCCTGCACATGCAAAGGCCTCGAAATCAAATTGGTAGCTGGTCGCGACAGGAAACGTCTTTCTACCCCACGAGATGACCGTGCACTCATCTGTTCCTGTGTTAGGACTCATCAGCCCTGCAGGGACCTTAAAAATGAGTGGGCATTGTCGAGAAATGTGTCTTGTTCGGCAAGGACAGTTGAAAACCGACTTTTTGAAGCTGGTCTGAAGTCACACAGGGCAATGAAGAAGCTCTTCATCAACCAAAGACAGAGGAAAGCCCTGTTACTCTTTGCTGGGGATCACAAGGATTGGACTGTTGATGATTGGACTAAGGTTCTCTTCAGTGATGAATCCAATTTTCAGTTGATACCCACTCCAGCCAACTTACTGGTTAGGAGGAAGCCTGGAGAAGCCTACAAACCAGACTCTCTTGCCCCTACAGTAAAACTTGGGGGTGGATCAGTGATGATCTGGAGTTGTTTCCGTATGGGTGGAACAGGGCAAATGCAGTTGTGTGAAGGGTGAATGAACCAGGTCATGTACAGGGCTACTCTTGAAAACAGTCTTCTTCTATCAGCTGGAAAACTCTTTCCTGCGTCCAATAACTGGATTTTCCAGCAAGACAACACGGCAAGGTCAGTTAAAGCCTGAATGGAGAACCACAACATTGGAACCATGCCTTGGCCTGCTCAATCACCAGATCTAAATCTAATTGAAAACCTGTGAAAAAAATCATCAAATGCAAAATGGAGAACCACAAGCCCAAAAACAAAGCAAATTTGTTTCAATCTGTGAACAGGAATGGGCTGCTGTGACAGCAGAACAATGTCAGAAGCTGGTGGAGCGCATGCCAAGACGCATGGCCGCAGTCATCAGAAACAATGTTTATGCAATCAAGTACTAACTCCTGTGTGTATCATGTGACTAAAACAGACAGAAAAGAAAACATGGAATGTCTAAAAGCAGTGTTTGGCAGGACAATGCCATAGCTACTGATGTAAGAACCGAAGTGATTTTAGTTATTATCAAGAAAACCATGGAAAACGGCTAGATATCAGCTCTTAAATTAAACTCTTATGAGCTGTTTTTGTTGTGATCCTTATATTTGTCCAAACAAATGCACCTTTAGTTGTACCAGGCATTAAAATCAACACAACATTGAAAAAAACAAGGGTGGTCTAATAATTTTTTCCATGACTGTATGTATAAAACCAACAGCTTAGACTACACTAAAAGTACAGGCTGCAAAGAACAGCCTCCCTGCAACAAAAACATAATATACATGTAATTTAAGGTTACTTGCATGAACAAGGTTATAAAAGAACCTCAGCTGTCTCATTTGTAGCCCTGGCTTCGTCTACACTGTCACACAATAAGAAATAACCTAAACAAGTGAAAAAGCAGATTTCATAAAGATGGAAGGTTACAAGCGCAACAGTATGTCAGTAGCAGGTCAGCAGGAATAGTTATCAGGCACAGGAAGAGTTGTCCTAATCGTAACAAAAGGTAGCACATCTGTCACACCATGCATGACTCGCTATTTATGCACATTTCCATTGGAAACCAGGTGTCTAAGTACTTTCTGACTTGGCACAGGACCAGTCAGCGATGCTCATTACAGTGCAAAGGACCTCGTATGAAGAAGTCAGTCTCTATGGACAGTGTATTTTAAAAAAAAAGGAAAATACTGTTCACAAAATGGCACAAAACTTTGCCAAAGAACATGAAAAGCGACTGATGAATAGTGCCAGCTCATTCATAGGTCAGATAGGGTTTATCGAACAGAATAGAATCGAATAGAATAGAATAGAATAGAATAGTTTTTTAATTTAACCTTTATTTAACCAGGAGAGACCCACTGAGATTAAAAACCTCTTTTACGAGGGCATCCTGGCCAAGAGGCAGCACAAGTTACAATTTAAAAGACAGGTAAAATTACATACACATTATGAAAAACAGTGGCAATCAGATAACGTCGTCTCAAGTGCTCTCAGTTTGGATTTAAAGTTGCTTAATGAAATAAGTTCAGTCAGTTTCCAGTCTTTTTGCATCATAGAATAGAAATACTTTGTTCATCCCGGACCTAGGGATTTTTTTCAATACAGCAGCAAAAAAGAAAACACCAAATCACAACAAGAAAGGGTTACAGTTAAATACTATTAAAATAAATAAATAAACTAACTTTACAAAATGTGCAAATTGTAAAACAGTGCAAAAACAAAGCGTGTTACAGAGCAGAAAGCTGAGAATGGAGTTCAACATGCTTGGCGTGGACCTGACCATGACTGCCACAGTTGCTGAATATTACTAAGAGTAAAAACAAAGGGGTTGCAAGAGGTGCAGGGAAAATGACATTTATAGATGCCAGTATGACTCTATGTTTGTACCCAAATACTGAATGAAACGATGATTCCCAGTTTCAAGATACCAATGACAATAATGATGGTCCCAAACAAACTGACACAATTAAAGTTTTTTTTAAAAAAAGCGAAAACTTGATGATCTGGTCAGGTATGTCCCCTGACTTGAGTGTAATAGAACAAAGAGCAGCTAAGGGGCCTTTCATGCCAAGAAGCACTGAATATGCCTTCAAACATAAAAGGTGGCTGTAGTAAATATTAGAATACGAAAGATTCTCTCTTTCTTTTTTGTTGCATTATAAAACAAGTGATTAAAGATTTGGTTTTGTTTTGGGTTGCCTACTGTTCTGCAGGTCAGTCCAGTAAGTGTAAGAAAGGAAAACAAGCCTAGAACGAGGCAGCACGTGCAACTCTTTCTTGTGGGTTGAGCAGCAAATATTGGTTTAAAAGATGATCTTTCAGTACTGCTACACAAACATATGTAACAAGACATGCAACTAAGGTTGTTTTACTTGGGATTTTAAAAAAACCACATGGGGCGTCGCTATAGCTCAAGTGGTTGAGCTGGCCTCCCATGTGCAGGGCTACAGTCCCAATGTGGAGGTCAGGAGTTCAATTCCTGCTCATGACCCTTTCCCACATGTCCTCCCCCCATTCTTCTCCCCTACTTTCCTGTCTCTCTCTGACTAAAACTATCCAACAAAGGCTAAAAAAATAACTTTAAAACAAACAAAAAAAATACATCAGTTCAAAGTACAGTAGCATACCAACAAACACCATGATGGAACTCACTCCCAAATAATATTAAATAATATAATTGTGTAAATGATTATTTAAAACATGCTGAAAGGGGTGCCCTGGTAGCTTAACAGGTTGAGCGGGTGATGCATGTACAGGGGATCGCTGCATGTCCTTCCCCCACTCTGCTCATAACCGTTCCTGTCTTCCATAGACAATAAAGGCCAAAAATAATAATCATTTTAAAAAATGCTGAAAGAGCCATGCCATGCAACTTTGCTTATTAATAAGTCATTTGATGATGTGAAAGGGTTTGACATACGTTTCAAATTAACCCAAATACAAAAAACGTTTTTCTAATTTGATTACTTGTATAAAGTAAAATACCCAGCATTCATGGCTAAAAAGAATACAACTTAGTGAATGTGATCACAAACAGTAACCTCCCTAGACTTCCAAAAGATAAAGAACAAAACACAGAAACATATATCTGGAAATGTGTCTACGTTCAATATGCAAGTCCAATATTCACTTCTCTTCAACTCAAAACACTCCTATCCTCCTATCCTCTCTTCACGCCCCTGCAACAGAGTCAAGCTTCCAGCTCGATGTGACTTTTCGTGGCTATTTTTGCGGCTGTTTAGATGCTCAGATTCATGCAAATATTAAACAAGTGAAATTAAATGTGTGTGGTTCTCACTGAGAAGCTGTTCATTGTTTTCTTAGTTGTTGTTAGTGTAACTTATGCACCAGGAACGTGGGCTAAATCTCACTGTAACTATCTTTACCTACAGTGCAACACTGACTACATACATCACGTGTCAAACTACACTGTCCAAATACTGAAAGCTAATCCACACCTTCCAGTCGGTTCATGTGAGGACATTATAATGTCCAGGACAGTGAATAAGCCAGAGCAGGCTAACAGTATAGAGAAGCCTCCTGAGGAAGGTATAGACCAGAGACCATGCAACTTATATGGCAGAAACTCCTGTAACACTAAGCTCCTCATCTCTTAAGAGCTCTTACAGTAGGATTTGGCTTGGCGTTAGGAGACTATTTGTGTATCTGAGAATCTAATCCTGTCGTCTTAAACATCAGCTCCCACACTGTAGCTCAGAGAGCCATATAGCATGGCTCGTGAGGGGTTAGCAGACATCATGTAGCAAAGCTCAAGTGGCATTTAGACAAATGTAGAGCCAGCACGATGAGGCTATCAGCTTGGATTTTGTGAAACCATTGGTGCAGTGCACATCATACTAAAGTATAGCCTATTTAGTGAACGAGGGAAGTACCAAATACACTTTTGGCAAAGTGTGCTCTATCACACCCATTACAAATGTACTTGTTAGACATTGTTGTCTTGTGATTCATATGGAAAACTGTTTCCACCTTTAATGGCTCTATGTGTTTTAAAGATATCGGTAATTCAGGTTTTGCTTGTAAAAAGGACCATGTGGTGAAATGACATTGCAGATACTATTATAGAAGCTGCTATAGAAGCTGCAGCAAGTGAGAAGATGAGTCGGGGGCAGCTCATGGTATTTAAACCATAACCAAAGAAAGAAGTTCTAGTTATTTCTAAAACAACCCTATCACGAATGAAGCACTCATTCTCCAACATGGTTGATATCTGTAAATGTTATTACAAATCATCAAACTTAGCTCTTAAATGTTAAAGCAGCTTTCCACACTTTCATCCACTTTAGCAACAACAACCTGTCAGAACTTACTGACAGTTCAGAAATCCTGCAGAGAGATTTTGTCAGAAGAAGCTTATTGTTGTCTTGCAAATGCATACTTTTAATTGCACAGTGGCACTTGGTAGGTTACATTTACACAACTGTCAAGCATGTGCACTATTGCCTTTGAAGCGAAGTCACTGTCCACACAGCCACGCAACGTGTGCAGAGGTCGGCATAAACGTTTGCGGACTCGGGGAGATGACAAAATTGATGTCACACAGACCCATGTGGACCCTTGCATACTTGTGGACAGAGAAAAGAATAAGGAGGTGTTTGTTACCAGTGTAGCTGGTATTGTATTGACCTTGTGTGTCTGTGTGTGTGCATGGGTTGTCATGACAAAACGTGGTGCCGGAGACGCCTAATGTATCAGGAGCTATCACAAAAGCAGTTTCTAGTACTTTGGCAGGTGTTCACATGTTGACAAAGTGTGTCAACACGATAGTGTCACAGCCATGAAATATGTTGTCACGGTTACAGGCATGTAGTTGAGATCAAAATGAAGGCCAAGTTTGAAGGTGGCTGTGGTCTGAGTACTACAGCCTAGGGTGCTCACTGAGGACTAAAATGTCTTATGACTGTTACGGTTTAGGTTCCCTTTGGTTTTAAATGGTACTTATTAAAATAGTTGGTTTTCCTTTGTGTCTGTTATGCAGGAGTTCTCTGGTGATGATCTGTGCCAAATTTGGCGAAGATTTGACAGTGTTTATAGGCACTGACATCTTTTTTAAGTTTATGACAAAGTGCAATAGGGCCATTACATCATAAATTTTCAATTTTTAAATGTATTTCTGTTTGACCATCGCTGATATGGACATTTGTGAAAATATAAAAATAATACATTTTAAACTGATGTATTAAATATTTTCAGAACTTAAAAAAAAAACAAAAAAAAAAAACTTATCAAACCGCTTTCAGTATGTTTTATTTAAACAACAATATCTCAGGAACTATTAAATAAAGATAAAAGCCTGAATAATCTCTGATTATGGGTGAGTACATTAAAAAAAATTAATAAAATTGAAGCCATCATAAAAAGTCCCATCTTTGAATTCACACTAACAAAAAAAAAACACAAAAGATAAAGCAGAAGTCAGCTAGGAATATATTTGTACCTTATGTAGTTGCATGTCACCGTAATACAAAAACAAAGCATAGAATATTTTGCTGCATTAGCTATTGGAATAGTGGAATTTTTCCAGCTGGAATATTCATGCATGACATATATTTAATGGTAACTGACGCACTTACAGTATGTGAGTTAAACGTCAGTGGTAAATTGATTGTCATGATCGTTGTAGGTTTAAAACAGATGTCCTTGCGTTGTGTTCCATTGCAAGTAAACGTGGGCTTCAAGACCAATGTCACAAGCTGTACAGAAAGTTAAAGGCTGAGTACATGTGTATATATATAAATATATATATAGCAACTGCTTAAGTGTTTACCTTCCAGTGTATAGTAGGGCAATGAACTGAGCTGCATATATGCCTGAAGTGACTCAAAACAAGCTTTATGTGACTGCATTCAAAAATATTTTTTCCCTCTTATATCTGGACAACCCTTTTGAAACTCCACAACCCTGTTGTTCTTGGATTAGGCTACAGCGCCTATAAAAACTATCCACCTCCTTTGAAAGTTTTCCCTTTTATTGTTTTTCAACATTGAATCAATGTTAATTTAATTGGACGTTTTTGAACAGAATTTACTAAGCAAAAAACAAAAAACAAAAAAAACAAAAACTGATTTCTCCAGATTAATGACAACTAATTAAAAATATAAAGGTAGTTAAAATACATGATCGCATAAATATTCACCCAGTTGGCGTCGCTATATAGTAGAAGCACCGTTGGCTGCAGCTACAGTATTGAGCCTGTGCGGATACATCTCAATCACCCTTGCACACTTGGACACCTACATTTTATCCATTCTTCTTTGCAAAACTTGTTAAGCTCTGTTGGGTGGCACAGGGATCACAAGCGAACAGCCCTTTTCAAGTCCAGCCACAAATTCTCTCATGATTTGAGATGGAATAACACAATACAGCAACCACATACATAGGTTGTCAGTTTCCATTCATGGGATCTCCCAAGATATCACAGGCATAACGAGCTTCTTAATGGGGCCAACAACTACTATTAGGAAAAACACACCTTTTCCTTATTGCAGCACCACCCAATGCCTAAAAAACATGGGGTTGAGTCTACATACCGAGGTTGCCTTTCATCAACTGTGGTTTAGATATGACCTCACCTCCAGTTTGGCAGCTTCGCAACTCATCTGGAATGGTTGTGACAAATGAATGCCTTCAAAATTAAAGAATCCATACAATAACCTCTGTGTGATTTATTCTGAAGATCATCCGTGCCGTTGGAGGGGAAGTGAAAAACTTTTTCATGAAATCCAAAATGGCACAAAATACATACTTTGCAAATTGGTGTTATAAGGTGGTTTGAACTTGGCTTTGTCTGAGGATGCCAACGAACGGCACCTCGTTTTAGTTACACAGACAAATCTGAGGTCCACTGGTGGCACTTCAGAAGCAGACATGAAACTTGGTAAAAACAATCAGGCCACTGTATCCAATCAGCGTGCCAGGTTTCACTTGTTTTTACCATGTGGTGCTTAAAGCTGCCATAGACTCCAATAACTGAGAAAGACAGAATAAGATGAACAAGAAAGGAAGAAAAAAACAATAGAAGGCAGAAACACAGTGGGTGTCTTAGGCCACAATAATATTTAGTACTGTGTATAGCTTGTTCTGCTGTCCCCAAGTGGTCAAAGATATTTATCAGTTCAGTTTAAAACCGGTGTAGAATTGGGATACGAAATAAAAGGCTTTATGTTACATTTCTCTATCTATTTCTATAAATCTCTATTTTTGTATCGTCTGTAAAGGTGATGGAAGCATTATCATCTGAGCTGAAAAGTTGACTTGACCTAGAGCTTGAACAGAAGCTAAAGACAGCAAAGCAGGCAACATCCCCAGAAGATGTGTGCGATCAGCTGGACGCCTGGATGAGAGGCTCTGCTGCTCTCTGGTTACCTCCTTGTTGTAGCTCTGTAAAGCCGTCAAAGCGCTGTCTTGGTCTCCCGTCTCCATTTGCTCTATGATGGCATTTAAATCCATTTTCATCGTCATCAAGCTAGCTGCTTCTTCTTTCTGCATCCACCGTCTGAACAGGACTGTCTCTGCGTGTTTGCTTCCAGACTGTAACTATATACACGCTCTGGTCTGTCACCACCCACGGATGATGTCTGAATCCCTGTGAGCCGGCGAGAACCGATTAGCTGAAAGGATTTGTGCAAGTCAAGTGCTGCGTTTAATGTCCCAGGGAAATGCAGAATAAACGATGTTGTAAAAGTTTTCGTTCCGAAACTTTCTAAAATATCGATTTTATTAGACAAAAACAAATGCGCATGTTCATTACAGCGGATGTAAGGAGGAACGATATGCGTGCATCGTGAGTAAAACAAATTTTAAAAAGCTCAAAATGTATGAGCTCGCGTTTTACAGGTTTACACTCTAAAGCATCAAGTACAATATTTAAGCATTAGTGTTATAAATGTATTCATCTTCCTGTTTTTAACCACTTTAATGTCAGTATCGCCAGCTCTGCAATAGTTTGTAGCTGAAAATATGTCCAGTCTCATCTATCTATCTGTCTATCTATCTATCTATCTATCTATCTATCTATCTATCTATCCATCTATCTATCCATCTATCTATCTATCTATCTATCTATCTATCTATCTATCTATCTATCTATCTATCTATCTATCCATCTATATATCTATCCATCTATCTATCATTAGCTCACTCTTTACTCTCTTTGTACCAGAGCCTTTACTAAATTGGGCGTTTCTCAACGACCCACAGGCCTGCTTGAACTGTGCAAGTATGTTCGATTTATAGTACAAAGCAAATGCGCGGGCGGGGTTAATGCTTTTTATCAGCCAATTCTCCCCCATATACAACTATTTACCAGATGAGATACAGCTAAATGCGTTATTCTCTTCATCTGTCTCGACGTGAGTTTCAGTGTTTTACATGCTTAGTTAAACTACATAAACTCCGTTTTGCCGGGGCACAGAATACACACACCCCGGTTATATGACGCCTTGAAGAGACACACTCTGTAGCCAATGAAATCTCAAGGCTTGGTTTGAGCGATGGAATTACAACCAATAGTTTTGCAGTGACAGTTTGAGTGACAAATATTGCCGATGCAGTGGGGGAAGGGGTCGCTGAAGTTGACGGAACCGCCATCTTGAAAAGTGCCCTCCGATGATCTACCGTTTCGCGCCTGTCAGGATCAGTTTTAAACGCTTCATTTTCGTTACCGGAATTTCGTGTAATCTCTCTGTTCCTATTGTTAAGGCCAGGGGCTGATGGCGAGATAAGCTACATGCTGGTGACTCGCCGTTTGCCGTTGTCTACCGGTAGGTACACTTGCCAGCCCATGCACTTGGTGCTGAAGAGACGATTAGCCCGCAGTCTTAAATAGCCGGCTAACGTTAGCTGGCTAGCAAGTAGCATACTTGGCCATCTTAACAGTACACTGTCAGACACTCCTAGTGTGTCTCTAGCTAAAACAGGGGGAACGTTAACATAGCAGCTCAAGTGTTATTAGATACCGCTGAGACATATTGTCATTTTATTGCCCAACTTTTCAACCAGTTAATGTTAGCCCTATTACTCATTAATATCTGCTAGTGGGACGTTGTCATTAACATTAGTGTAATCTTTATTTGAGGGGAGTACTTTAGCTAACAATAGCTAGTGACGTTAGCCAGTTTGCCTGAGCCGGTGTGTTTCTGTTGCGTTAGCAGTAGTCTGTTTTGGGCCCTTGTAGGTAAATGGATTGACGTTACTGCAAACGTTAGTCAGCGAAACCTTATGTAAGCCAGGTAATGGCGTGAAGTTCTAAATGTTGTTTTACTGCGGTTTCAGTAAGTGGATCTAATATGGCCATCCTGTTTTTAAGAATGTTCACTTTGCTTGCGAATGGTGGCTAGCTGGAAAATGGCTCATAATGCTCATAATTTGCGCTTACTGCTGCATCCAGCGACAAAACAGCGTCTTCATTTGGCTCAGTCTTTTGACTCAGAGTTGGAAAATGGAAATTAGTTAACCATATGATTCTAGATCAATACGTTGTGACGGTTCTAATTAAAACACTCTGGTCATTTTACTTGAGTAGGTATGGACATTTAACGGGCAGTATTACCTGGGCCGTCAGTAGAGTTCGTGTCTCGATCGACTTTATTTCGCTCCCATGATTTGCAAGTATGCTGGGGCCTCCACTTTGACACTGTTTTAAAGTTTTAGGCTTTTGAAGACTCGAGAAAGGTTTGTTTTCCCAAAGGCTCTGCTGGTTACTCACATTATTATAATGCTTTTGGTCTTTAGCATATGTTTCACTGTATTTAGGGGGTTTATTAAGGTTTCACAATAATACGTTTTATTGCTCGATTTATAATCTCTGTGTGATGCTGTACTTTTGCCTGTAGTGGACAGTGTTGCTGATCTAACACTAAAGCCGAAACAGCACAGATGTATTTGGTCTGCACATGATCAAAGTGATTTTTAGATCTAAGTAGCAGGCATCCTTTATGTTTGTCAAGCATATCTGATGCAGTGTCTTGGTACCAACTCACTATTCTGAATATAAGTATGAATGCGGTTTATTCACCCTGTCTTTTTTGTGAACATGCTGCATATGCTGTCCATGGGAAGTCAGGAAGTGTTTGCATCTGAAGGAGAAAACAAATAATTGCTAGAAATCAATTTAAAGTCTGCACTAAAAAGTAAAAAATGATATGTTCTGAAATTGTCTTGTTGCAGAAAAATTAACCACTTAGTCAAAATGAAAAGATTATTTAAAAATGTAGCATATAAAATAACTCTAAAACATTCTTTAAAAAAACAAAAAAAACCTCTGAATTCAAAAGCAAATTGAGGATAAAGAAAAATGTTGTCATATACTGTTAGTGGACTAAGCTACCTACTATAATTGTACACAAGGCAGCTTATATTCATTGCTGTGAACGTAGTGCAGATGATGTTGGTAGAGCAGGAGGTTAAAGGCCAGCGACAGAGATAGTCGATTTGACCCCATTTAGCCAGTACAGTAAACCAGCATCAGTGTGGGAGGGGTGGGCTAGCCTGCTCTCAAAGGCTGCAGCACACGTGTGGAGACCCTGCTCTTAGTGTCACTGGAAGAAAGAAGTAAATGTTCAAAAGTGTTTTTACATCTCATTAAAGACAAAGATAAAGATAAACTTTATTGATCCCACAGTGGGCAAAGTTCACTGTTACAACAGCTCCAAAAAAAGTGTACAGTCAGTGCAAGAATAGTTGGGAACACCCAGTGCAAAAAGTAGGAAAGAGAAAACACACAATGCAAAAATTGCAAGAGAAAAAAACATTATATACAGAAGATGTTTTTTTTTTTGTTTTTTTTTAAAGAAGACTATATACACAAGGATGAGATAGTCATGGTTATTGCACATAATGGAATGTGTTTGCTGGTGGGGAAAAAAAGAAAAAGTGCAGCAGTAACAGAGGTTAAAGTCGATGCTCATTCCGACAAGTGCAACAAGTCTTGTGTGCATTAAAGCGAAAACGCAATCAATCTGTGGCAACATCCAGCAAAGTTCATCACATACAAGTGGAGAAATGTACATCTTTCGACTGCTTAGCTTGTAGTTCATTTCTGATTGCTTCAGATGTTATGTGTGCTGGCAGGTTAGACCCCTCACACAGAGGTAACTTAATTTTACAAACATGGGTTGATTGATTATGATTAAAAATGACCATTTTGTATCTGAGTGTTTCGTTAGATGCGCATTCATAAATTCAGTCAGAAATAATAGTAGTGTAGTAGTACTGTTAAAATCTTGATGATACCCACAATTAGTGACATGTGACCTGACTTACGTTAAGAAAAATGCACAGTGCCGTTTACCATTATATTCTGATAGATCGATCCTGTCTCTATGTGGGGGATAATTTACAAGTAAGAAGTAAATAATGACATTACAGCTTTGGTGCCTCATGCATAATTGGAGACACTCTTGGATCATGCTGCTGTCTGATGCTGCAGGTATGTAATATACTCAGAGGAAAGACTGTAACAAACAGCTAGAAGCAAAAAAAACTCAACTTAAACTCCTGCTGACCTTTAAATTAAAACCCAAATTGCATTTACTGGTGCATTGATGAGTCTCTTTAATGTGTTAGATTCTGTCTAATACACTGCAGTAAAGTTGTATTTTTACAGGCATTTCAATCTGTAATTAATGTAAAACTGCAGAACGAAGGGGTTGAGGAAAAAGTCAGCATACGTGAAAGTTCTACATGATTTTGGAGCGGTCTGTGTGTGTGCCTCTGTCAACCTAAGACGGAGTGTCTGTGTCATTGGCGCTATCGGTGATGGACGAATTAGTTCTATAATGTTTAAAAATGTTGTATGTTCAGACTTTGTACTATGTTTAGAGACAGCCTGTTCAATATTTGTAACTTTTTTTAATTAAGGAGGCCCTTAGACACTTCCTCTTATTTGGCATAAGATTTGTTTGAGCAGCATGAGGCAGAGGAAGAGGGATGATGTCTCACAAAACATGACAACCCTGGTTTATACCTTGTGCTATTTCTGATCGGTTCATGTGTTAAGTTTGTGGTTAATTCGACACATGCAATTTTGCACTCTAACGTGGGGTCCACAATCAGAACAGTACATATGTTTTTGCTCCTGTCTTTACATCTCAGCCGTGTGAACCGTGTGAGTCATTCCTGTTCAGAGAGTAAGTTTGTCTTTTTCAATGCAAGATGACCTGCTGATTCCTCATCTGCATTGTTGTCATCAGAGATTTGGGACTGTAGTGTCACAGACGGTCTGAATAGTCTTTTCGTTTTAAAAAAAAAAGAATACATTGGTAGTTCACCTCATTGACAACTATGTTTTTGTTCATAAGTCAATTTCTTTCAAGAACCAACAAATAATTTCCCTTTCAGACGTGCACTCTGTTACATTAATCTGACGGTAACTAAACGAGTCGGCTGCATCTGTGAATGCATTCCCATGTCGCTTGTCTGCAAAAATCTTTTCCGTATCACTTTCAATACTGAAC